CGTCAGACAGATGGCGTCCATCAGACAGGTGTCGTCCGTCAGACAGATGCTGTCCATCAGACAGGTGCTGTCCACCAGACAGGCGTTGTTCATAAGACAGGTGTTGTCCACCAGACAGGTATTGTCCATCAGACAGGTATTGTCCATCACACAGGCGTTGTCCATCAGACAGGTGTTGTCCATCACACAGGTGTTGTCCATCACACAGGCGTTGTCCATCAGACAGGTGTTGTCCATCAGACAGGTGTTGTCCATCAGACAGGTACTGTCCATTAGACAGGCGTTGTCCATCAGACAGGTACTGTCCTTCAGACAGGTACTGTCCTTCAGACAGGTGTTGTCCATCAGCCAGGTGTCGTCCATCAGACAGGTGTTGTCCATCACACAGGTGTCGTGTCGTCCATCACACAGGTGTCGTCCATCACACAGGTGTCGTCCATCAGATAGACAGGTGTCCATCACACTAGAGTTGTCCATCAGACAGGTGTCCATCACACTAGAGTTGTCCATCAGACAGGTGTCCATCACACAAGAGTTGTCTATCAGACAGGTGTTGTCCATCACACTAGAGTTGTCCATCAGACAGGTGTCCATCACACAAGAGTTGTCTATCAGACAGGTGTTGTCCATCACACAAGAGTTGTCCATCACAGAGGTGTCGTCCATCAGACAGGTGCTGCCGGGGCACCAACTATCCGCTGGTTCTTTAACCCCTTTCCGTCCTCAGTGATAGCCATAAAAAAACGGCAGCCTTATTGGCCTCCCATTCCCCTTTTTCCCCAATACTTTTACCTTCCCCAACCCTATTATTCATCCGCATTATCCCCACACTCCCACGCGAGTTTAGTGCGGTAAAGGAAAAGTAAAAACTTTCGTTAAATAACGGGATTAAAAAGTTTTTATTTTGAACATCATATACAAGATTAGAAATGATTCAATAATAAAGACAAAACCTATAAATTTGATAGGTTAATGAACATCAATGTTATTTCGTTTTAAATTTCTTCCATTTCATTCTATTATCCTTATTCCTTCAATTATTCACATAAACGAAAAAACATTACACGATTTTCCGTCAGCCCGTAGAATGTAGATCAAGAAAAAATATACAAAATATTCCTTGAGATCAAATATGTATAAATATCAAATATGTATAAATATTCGTATTCAGTCAAGCGCTGAGATGCTGAAACTCTAATCAAAGGTTCAACGCGCGATCAAAAATTTTGAACTCAGTCAGGGAATCACGATATTAATTTAGAAGTTAGCTAATCGAACAAAAATTTGAAGTTTGTCATCTAATCACTACCAAAAATTTTAGGTTATTCAGGCGATCATGATCAAAAATGGAAGGTTTCTAGGCCAATCACGATAAGAAATTTGACGTTAGTCAGCCACCAAGCATCAAGTCTAGGGTCATTCAGGAGTACAAGAGTGCCAATGAGAATCCAAAAAAATGAATGTCCCAAAAAAAAAGAATGAATGATATAGTATAGGTTGTTCAGCACACAAATATAAAGAGCCTTTTTAAGCAACAAAACTGAATGTGTTTAATGCCAGTGTAACGCAATAAACTAGCATTTCCAGGCATCGCATAAACGCAATAATATCCTGCGAAAAAGTTTACTCAAAATACCTTCATACAAAGTCGCATTTAGGATATTATATGCTTCTAAATTATCTACTTCATGCTTCTAAATACACATTTTTATTGTTTTAGATAAACGTTTGATAAATATTATTCCATATGTCACGCCCCAAGAACCTTTACAAGGTCTCAGAGTCAGCAAGTAGCTCATATTTCAACGTCTCGCTGATATTCATTTATAACTTGTACCGCTAAAGCTTCTGGCAAACCTCCAAACTAATTAAATAAAAGTAAAGCTTTACCAATCCTTCACCTCAATAAATAATTATACTTATAATGTAAAAGGTTTTTATCTGAAATAATACAACTCCTACCATCGACTTAAGAACTATAAGCGGATATCAAACCTTTGTTTAACCCAGATTACTAGAGCTTTAGATACGAATGCCTCAAACGAAGGTTAATATATCCGTATACAGAGGGTTAAATTAGGTCAATATGTCAACTTAGCTACGTATTTACAGGCCGATCATTCCGGCAACTCAACGAAATCATCAGGAAGCAACACACATCAACAGCATTTCTGCATATTTTCCGAAACAAAACACTTCGCGTATGCTACAGCATTTATGCATTTTGGCTGACAGGTAAAATGTACGACCCAGCATTTCAAACTTGATGAACGTTAAAATTTCAACAATTGGGTCGAAGTTTGAAATGATAGAGTAGAAGAAATGTAGTATTTTCTCAATTCATTACAAATAAGATTCAAAGAATTTATAAATCTCTACAAGAAGTGCTAAGAAACTAGTACAAGATCAGTCTATTTAAGATGACAATCGAAAGCTAAAGCAAACTGCCACGCAAAATATTAAATTACAGCAAACCTGGCGCATTTCGTCAAATATTTTTTTCATAATATCTCAAATAATATAAAAAAGGACAGATAAACACAAATATTTTTATACCAGAGTTTCCTCAGTTTTGCCGTTTTCTAAGTCGGAAAATCTTGTCGTTTAAATTCCGTTCTTTAAGAATATAGTATCGCAGTTTCGTCGTCATTTGGAACCCTGACAATACCTGCAGTGTTCAATTAACAGTGAACGTGACAGTGGTGGTAGCGCTAGTGGAAATAGCACTAGTGAAAATAGCACTAGTGAAAATAACACTAGTGGAAATAGCACTAGTGAAAATAGCACTAGTGAAAATAACACTAGTGGAAATACCACTAGTGAAAATAACACTAGTGAAAATAGCACTAGTGGAAATACCACTAATGGAAATAGCACTAGTGGAAATACCACTAATGAAAATAGCACTAGTGAAAATAACACTAGTGAAAATACCACAAGTGAAAATAACACAAATGAAAATAACACTAGTGAAAATAGCACTAGTGGAAATAGCACTAATGGAAATAGCACTAGTGGAAGTACTAGTAATGGTCCAGAAAGTGATAGCAGTAGGATCACTAGCAACCGTGATGGAAGTGTAACTGATAGTACTAGTGCAATTAGTAAAGCTATAGCAGCAACAAGATAGATAGTAGAAACATTAGTATAATACATCACGAGGAGCATAATTAATACGGCAGAACCTAAACGGCAGAAACTAATTAAACGATCTACTCAAACGTTTAGCAGCTGGATAGTAGGAATAATTACTTTAAGAACAATGCTTTACAAAAGAATATGGTAAGTCATTAACAAGTCCTGCAGTCAGTGCTCTGTAATGAGAATAAAAGTTTACGCTCGATCATGAGAAATAAGTTAAAAACTAACGAGAAGTCATTAATAAGTGACTAGTCTGACGACAAAGCAACTACGTCAAAATAACGATGTTGTGGCAAAAAAAATATTGAGGTAAACAATTAATAAACACATTATAAATAAACGAGAAACACACCATCGTTACTAGCGTCGACTCGGAAGATCAATCGCTAAGGATTTAAGTGTAAGAAATCATTTGGAATATTTTATTTACACACTTTTTGCACCACCATCATTTTTAAATAAGATATGAAGAGTTCTCTATCAACGGTCATAGAATTGAGCCACGCAAACCTCAAATTTCTTTTATATAAAACGGGTTAATAAATACCTTCATACACGATAACGTGGACAAATGATCCAGCAAGTGAATATCATTACTATGTATTTTTCAGAAATTCCAGAGAATTCCCTTTGCTAAGCGTAAGAAGCTGTGTGACAGAAAAAATCTGAAACAGACTGCACACTTAACTCATAAGTTAACTTAACTTCCTCATTGAGCGAATACGCCCAACTTTATGATGAAAAACTCGTTTGTAACATGCGCGACAAGTTGGCAACATGCCGGACGCGTCGGTAAACACGCGCAACACGTCGGTAACAAGCCCAAAACGTTGGAAACACGCGAAACCCGTTAGTAACACGTTAAAAGCACGCTTAGCACGTTGGCAACATAAGCAACGTGTTAGCAAAACACGCAACGCGTTGGCAACATTCGCAACACGTTGGTAAAACTCGCAACACGTGTTTCAACAGCAACATCAAACTTTGCCCTTTGAATATCACAAGCCAATACCAGGACTCGAGTGAGAAGGAGGAGAGGGGCTGAAGGGTTATAGTTTATGAATGGGGGAACAGTCCATCTCCTTTATATTTCAAACTCACACACACACAAACACACATACAGACACACATACAAACATACACACATTACAAACGTATAACTTTATTCTGTCATGAATTGCCTGGCCAAATACACACTAAAATGTTCAAGCCAATACTCTACTCATATCGAAGCTCATAACACATTTACTTTTCCCTGCTGAAAAAACGAATCAAAATGCGGTTTTGTCGGTTATGAGATTGCAATACTTTGACAATTTAACGGGTAACTGAACATATAAGATGTTGATTTATACTTTTTTTTACCAGATAAGAAAGAACAGCTGTCTGGATAAATTCTTCACAGACATACACAGCAGCTTCTTACAATTCTGCAACACAAGCAAGAAGATTCGTACAGAATGATCATAAAATGATACCTACTAACATCAATAATCACACAGCACACCTACCATATTCACCAACACCAGGCAAAAAACACTCACTGTAACAATAGAAGTTCACCAAGAAATTTATTTATCCCAGATGGTTCCCTTTCCAGTGAAATTAAGCGTAGAGGTCTTCATAGTTATTCATTTGGTGGTTCAATATGATGCTTGTGAAGAGCAGTGGTTAAAAACCTTTCCAATTTGTTCACAAATATTAAATGCCGATAAACGTATTTGCTCCTGTCACTGATGTTGTCACGATTTATTTATATTGAACAATTAAACTTCAAGCTATTACTCACCCCTCCACCCCTCCTAAATTAATATGATACATATTAAATTCTAAAGTACCTAACAAAAATTTCCTTTACCTTTTAAATTACCTTACAAATCACATTGCTTAAATGTCTCACACATCAAAACACTCACAAAAGCAAAGCAAATCACGACGTTCCCCACAACTATCCCTAAACAAGCAAAATTTAGAGCCGCCCCAGCTTCTGCTAATGAGAACCTTGGGCGACTCTGAATTTCGTTGACGTGTCAGCAGAGCAATTACATACCCACAGAGGACCAAGAGCCGTACTATCAAAAATAGTCTGTTCGTAACTCTGTCTGCCAATCACTGACGTATTTTAAATCAAAACGAACCAACTACAGAAGAGTTTTCAGCCGCTACGTGTACTTAGGCCGCTATGAGTACTCAGTCCACTAGAACTAAAGACGCTACGAGTATTTAGGCCGCTACGTATACATAAGCGGATTTATGATAGTACGGCCCCAGACCCCAGGGGGACTAATGCTCCTCATCCTCGGGGAAGCCAAGACTCCCCCGTTCCTCCTCACTCCCCCACCCTCAATCCAAGTCATGCGAGTCCTCCTTGGAGTCGAGCAAGAAGTTGAGTTCATGCTCGTCTTGGTGCACGACTTCATCACTTAGCGCGTCCGACGAGTCGTATTTCTTCTTACGGTTCAAGGACGAGCCGCTGACTGGCGCTGACGAGGAGGTCGTGCGAGAAGGAACGTCCTTCTTGAAGCGGCTCACTGTCTCTGTCAGCCCCGTGGTCGTCAGCCTGCAATATAGCAAATAAATTAACTTACGTCGTCTTGACGAACTATGCCTAGCATGAACTAGCTATCAATATTCTTTGCGTATTTTTGTCTTGAATGAGAAGTTAGTAAGACAAATAAACATAGAACGCAAGAATATATCAATTACATCAAAAAATGTCGCCATAGCGACCAGTTACTTAAGGCAATGATGATCTATACCTAACTTAAATACCGATCAATCCTTGATAAAAAAAATCCCTAATACGAAATCGGGCTAAGGATCTATAGCAACTAGCAAGGAAACGGGAAAAAATATAATTTTTTCCAGATTTCTTAGGAAATACAATGCATAAAACCAGAAGTATATAACTCTAGCAGCGTAAGACTATATGAAAAACACTCCAACTGCTAGGAGTTTAAAGCAATAATCTTCACATTCTCAATAACTTCACCAATCACCATCGTTTAAACTTTAAAGCAAGCATTCAAAAAAATAAATGACAAGAAAAATTTTTTTTTTGATTGATAAGAAAAGTCTCAAATAAGAAAGCTAAGCGAGTCAGACATACACTATGTCCTCATCATCCTCATCGTCGTCGAACTTCTCGTTGAGCAGGAAGTAAGGGTTGCTGTTGGCGGGTCTGAACTTGTAGCCCGTGAGCACGAAGAACACGTAAGTCGCCATCTCACGGAACATGTCGTCCAGCCACTCGTACTGGAACGGCACTGTGATCTGCAACACGTTGGAAACATGTTAGCAACACGGTGTTAACATGTTAGCACAACATTTGCAACACTTTGACAATGCGTATGTGGCCAAATCTGGCAACATACTCTCCAGCCATTCATATGATACCGTGATGATGAACACGTTAATAACACGCTCCCAACACGTTAGTTACACGGCACCATTATGGTAGGAACACGTTCCCAACACGTTGGTAACATGGTACCATTATGGTAGAAACAAGTTGGTAGCACGCTTCATATACGTTAGTAACACGGTACCATTACGGAGAATACACGTTCCCAACACGATAGTAACACGTTCCAAACACGTTAGTAACACAGTACCATTACGGTAGGAAGACGGTCCCAACACGTTCCTAACACATTAGTAACACATTCCCAACACGTTAGTAGCACGTTCACAGCACGTTAGTAAAACGTTACTGGCACATTGATAACGCCTGACAACATGTTATCGACACGTTAATAACACATAATCAGCACCTTAGTATTGCGTAACTAACACAAAGAACACGATGGCAAAACGAGCAAGAAAATGACAAAATGAGCAGAAGCTTTACAGCAACATCAGTACGTTAGCCACAGGAGAACTGAAACAGAAGAGCTGGGGCCAGGCAATTGAAATTGTCAAGTGTTTTCTTGAAGAAAGAGCAGGTGACGCCATCAAATGGAGGGGGTCGCTGTGATTTCTGATACAAGAGAAGCTTTAACTAAGGAATCTGCGCATGAAAACTTTGGAGGAGCGCTGTGTAACTTCGAAGACTTGCTAGAAGAATATGTCATAAAGCGAAAGTAGCGAGATCAGCAGCTAATTTTCGATCACGTTGCCTGTGTTTAAATAGATAAAATAATGTTATTGACACATAGTCTTAGTTAAAAAATGAATGGGTGAGCTTGGCTAAGATATTATCTTTGTGGATCTATATAATCTATCAATTATTCAAGGCGCTACGACACACCGACCCTGAGTAGGTAGACTATGATGCGGGTGAAGTAGATGTAGCAGACCACCATGATGTAGAAGTGACGGAAGAGCTTCAGCTTGTTGAGGTTCACAGCGGCTTTCCCGTCAGTTTGGGACGCTTCTTGCAAGTGTCGAATAGACCTGAAAGTATGACAACAGTAGTTAGAGTCTTAGTGTACACAAAACATTAATTATTATACACTAATATTAATATGACTGATGACACCATCAATTTATGAATCTGGAGCTGATGCAAAACTAAGATTAAACCGCAGGAATTTGTGATACAAATGAATATGTGATTTCAAGAGTTTAATAGCACTGAACTTTTGTTTACGCTAGCCATAAGGAGGCAGAGCGTGGAGACTACCAACACAAATCCTAAGAAAACTTCAATAAACGGCAATAACTGACAAGGAATGAAAGCTAATTCATCAAAAATGAATGAGATACAACAATAGATGTAGTAATAAAGTTTCAAGAATTAGCGTCAGTACCTAACGACAGGCCACAATATGAAACTACAACTTAACACGTTTACTACGATTGCTTCATCTTGTACAATTATTTCATTTTTTGTACTTTTTTTAAGCAGGGTTGCCAGACGGTCATTTTTTCCGGACAAATTCCGTGATTTAGTTTTTCTCAATTGCGTTGGCCGGCTAAAATTTATGATAGGGGTACTTCCTAATTAAATTTTAAATAGTGCAAAAAGACAATAAATAGAATTTTTCGTGGTACACATATGTACCAATACGTAGTCAACGTGTTAAACAATAGTTAAAATACATCATAAGATCGGTAAAAATATGCGGTAATACATGGATTATAAATAAATAAATTACAACATTAGATGCATATATGCAGCTTCAAGTAAATATTGTCATCACCAGACGACAGGCAGTAGAATAGCAGCGCAGCAGAGGAAGTCTACAAGGAAGAGCAGGCGCGCCCACACCGCGTGCTCGGGGTCCCACTCGTCCGTCTCCTCGATGATGATGCTGGCCACGTTAGCGATGATCTGCGGTAATAATGCTCCCATCAGTACGATCATCACATTGACAGTGTTGTACCATTAATTCACATAGTAGTACTATTAATTCTAGTTATACCAACAATTCACATATTAGGACTACTAATTCACACATTAGTACTTTTAATTTACGCAGTACGGTAGTACATTTACTTCACATACTAGTACTAGTATGTGTATTAGTAGTACACATAGTAGTACGACTAATTCGCATATTAGTACGACTAATTCACATAGTAGTACGACGAATTCACATAGTAGTACAATTAATTCACACAGTAGTACTATTAATCCACATTAACTCTCTCACGCAAGTATTAACATGGTAAGCCAAGCGGGTCGGAGGCCACGCACGCAAGGTGTGACACGCGCGAGCGGTAATGAACAACACGCACACACTCACGGAGATCCTAAATACGGACGCGATGCTCGAGCTAATACTCAATATTCACTAACAAGTCATAAACAAGTTTCCAGGCTGCACAAAGTTTGGGTGAACGGTCAGGCCGGTGACTTGAGCCTTTAGGCACAAAGCACAACATCAGCACAAACACCAGAAACTGCCATCCGAGCCACCAGCCTGGCTCAGCCAAGCCGCATTCTTGCTCTTTTAGTACTCTGTACGGTATCACAACTCGGAAATAAAAACTTTTGCAAAATGACAGATGCCCATTTTCATTAGGTGAAATTGACGCAAGTGGAATACGTATATCGGTAAAAGAAAAACGGTCATTTGCTCTTTGGTAATCGACGAAAAATGGAGCATGTTTCATACAATATTTCAGTCGATTATTCGAAATTTCCCTTTGGACAGACGCTACACTGGGAAAAACAGAATCTTGTAATATACCTTGGGGGGCTCGGCTGTCCTTAAGAGCGACTTACGGTAGATAGCTGCCATAAGTCATTATGGCACTGTGACCGTGCTGATCATTAACAATTATCATAGTGACTAATGATCTAAATAAATGATAAATAATCTACGAATAGAATGATAATATAACACACAACTCTTTACCTGCAAAGTATGAATAATTCTGGTGCGGGTTTTTGCTCGAGTTAACTCAAGACTGTATTATTAAAATATCGAGGAAAAAATTATATCAGATATGATGAATACCAAGATCTAGGTCCTCACCTGCAGAGGGATGACGATCATGAAGATCTTTTTCTCTTTGCTGGAGAGGATGTGCTTGATGAAAGCCCAGCCTGAGCCGATGAGCGCGAGAACAGTGAAGAGCAGAGCGCCCTTCAGCCTGAAACACATTGAAGAATATTAATTTTAAATTATATTAATGGTAAAAAAAGCATCTGAAAACATTAAAAATTATTTTTAACAAGATGCTAATTGTTAAGTGATTGCTCAACATCGATTCAAAAATGCATGACACAATAAATGTATGACAATAAATCAGTAAATAAATAAAATGCATGATGTAAGACATGACTCACAGATGCATGATGTAACAACACATGACTCACAGATGCATGATGTAACAACACATGACTCACAGATGCATGATGTAGTACATGACTGCCCAGGCTTCCATATGTTTGCCCTGTATCTGTATGAAGTGGTAGTTGATGGCATGGAAGAGCAGCGACAGCGACTTGATCACCACCAGCACCCCCATAAGGTAGTGGATCTTGAACACTGGTTCTCTGCAATATATCCAGACCGGCAATGATGGACTCGAGTATTACTTATTCAACAGTCTCTTTACAAATTCAGCCTATTAATGGTGCACATCTATTTTTATTGTATATGCATATATTAGATCAATCTATGACCAAAAACAATATCTATTTAGCAATGTATTGTTAATACGATGTACCGCTAATACAGAAATAATTTCGATTAAATAATTGAAGAAATACTAATAGAGTTAATACTATAACCATATAGTTAAGCAAAATATGAAACTTTATAAATCCGAAGAAAAAAAAGTAAAAAATTAGAGCATGACAAACTATGATCATAAATAATTTGTCGTGATAGTATTTAACTTTAGCATACAGAAGTACAGATATATAGGAAACCCCAAAAAGGACAACCACAGACAAAAATCAAAAGATCAAGTATGTCAAACAAATAAGAAAGGATCAACAGAAAGTCCTACGATACAAGGCCTTGACCACCTGGAGATGCATTGGGAGCAATTCATAAATTTTTCAAGAGCAATGGAGAAGAGACAGTAAATAAGTCATTGGATATTTGGATGTTAACTGGATGATTGTTGATATCATTTGTGATATGATATCATGCTGATTGTGCCACGTAATACTTGATAACAAGGCCAAATTCATTCGAGACCAGTGCTCTGAATCAAATATCCAACAATGTAAAGGAAAAAAGGCTTGTTTAAAAAATAATTGCTTTAATAAATAAGCTTCATGAGATTAGTCAAGTGCTTCAATCTTAATAGAATTTAAGAGAACGCTTTAATAGAAAGGCTTTGGAAAGTTCAACTATGAGAGAAAGAAATGGAACCAACTTGCTCTTGCGCAGCAAGAAGAACCAGAATGCAGCGGAGAGCAGGAACAGCAGCGACATCATGAAGTACAGCGCAGGCAGCGGCATCTCTCCAGCAGAGAGGTAGTTGTCATCAGGGTTCAGCTCTACCACCTGGGTGTGAAGTATTATGTTAGTTTAACTTAGTCAATATGAAAATATGAGAAGATCAAATCAAGGTTGAAGATTGGGGCTCTCACAAACAAAAGAGTGAGTCGAGAAAAGATAACGACCAGGGATAATCATAAAAGAACCTCTGTATATACCAATAGAATAGTTCTCTATCTCTCTTGCCTTGTTGCCTACCTCACAATGACACCTGTGGCCAACCTCAAATAATGCATGTTAAGGTAGGCTGATAGTAAAATATTGGCCATATCGGTTTTTGTTGCATTTTCCACAAACGTTGCCAGCATTAAAATATACGGATAAATTAAAACTGCCACACCCTTAATAACATCAGAAAATGTAAAGTGTGATTAGGAATTACTACCATTAATGAACGATATAACATCACATCACCATCAAAGTCATGTCGATGGAGGCGGGTGGCTGCGTGGGGTCGTAGTTGTGGCAGTTGTGGAAGTCCAAGTTGTACAACCCTTCTTCCTTCTCGCTCGCCACAAACACCACAAACTGATGGAAAATTACACAAAACAATCAGCTTTACAACACAAGAACAAAACCAATACAAATTAACATGTGAGCAGCAGAAAATTACAAACTATGCACAAGTCGTACAAATTCTCAACAGAGACAGCAAAAAGTTTACTTTTGGTAAACACAGCAAATAATAAGACATGAATATGTCATTCTTAACAGAAATATATATAACAGCGGTATACCAGGTAGTTGAAAACTAAAAAAATTACATATGAAATAACAAGGCAAAAAAATCATACCGAGAAATTGTAGAAGCCATTTGTGACGGAAATTGGGAGTGTGACATCCTTGCACTTTCTGTCCGGAACGTTGATGCGACTCATTGGTACCTCTCCCTCAGCCCCGGACATCGGCATGGGCTCTGTATTTACACAAGAAACTTCAGAACAATATTATTCCTTGAGTTTTTTGACGTCAGAAATTCATGGAACTAAGAACAAACTGAGCAATACATTTACAACTAATACAGGTATACAAGAACTAAGGAACTACGAACATATTGAGCAATACATTTACAACTAAAATACAAGTATTGAAGTCTTATCGAGTATGATTACTAGAACTATTTAGCAATAAAATGTGAAGAGATATTGGCTTAGTGCTGAATTAATGATCAATTTAGGTAGAATATCTAAAGCATAACGCACTGTCGGCTGGAAATTTAGATGCGTCAGCTATTATTCCAGTGTCGGGATTTTCTGGAACAACAGGGTCTGCTGCAGCTGCAGAGTTAGGGTCTGCAGCAACTGCAGAGTTGAGGTCTGCAGCAGCTGCAGAGGTAGGGTCTGCAGCAACTGCAGAGGTAGGGTCTGCAGGGTCAGGGTTAGGAATGACCGCTCGTCGCGCTCGGGTCAAAGGCTGCACAGGAACTGGTTCATTCGATGATGATCCCGCCCTCTGTAGAAACAAATGATCTCAATATTAAAATACATAATAATTGTCTAGCATTATAAATCTAATGACTGGTATAAATGGACTAATCTATCTTATGAACCATTGTATTACAGAGGTATATAGATATATCTACATAATAAAATCATTTCCCTTTTTTTTTTTTTGATATTGGATTAGTGCTGAGTTACTGATCAGCTAAGGTAGAATATCTGAAGTATAACGCACTGTCGGCTAGAAATTTAGATGCGTCAGCTATTATCCCAGCGTTGGGATTTTCTGGAACAATAGGGTCTGCTGCAGCTGCAGAGTTGGGGTCTGCAGCAGCTGCAGAGGTAGGGTCTGCAGCAGCTGCAGAGGTAGGGTCTGCAGGGTCAGGGTTAGGAATGACCGCTCGTCGCGCTCGGGTCAAAGGCTGCACAGGAACTGGTTCATTTGATGATGATCCCGCCCTCTGCACAAACAAATGATCTCAATATTAAGATACATTTCGAATAATTGTCTAGCATAATAAATCTAAACACTGGTATAAAAGGACTAATTAAACTTAATTAATAATCTAATCTAATTAAACACCGTATTGCAGGGGTATTCTATATAGATATGGTACGTATATATACATAATAAAATTAAATCATTTTTTTTTTGTTGGAATGCTGATTGCTTGTTTCATAATTTGAAAAAATTTACCATGCAGAGGTGCAACACCAAAATTTTTATCCGAAATGCAAAATCCTTCAGTTACGGTATATATAATTTATGAGGCTCAGTAACCACATTAACCATCATGGTGCTGTATTTATTCATTAAACACAGTTTGCTCCACAAATAATTTCAGTAGAATCGTTCTATGCATAAATATATCACTGATCCTCCAGACGGTTGACTGACCAACATTCATGCTTAATATGTAGTAAAAATGCATAAAAAATAATTTCAAACGCAATTTCCAAGACTTTTCACATTGTTACCTAATTTAATATGTATTAATAATATTTAATATGAAGGAAGCAGCGTTAGCATCTCAAAGAGACGAAGTGACAAGGAGGGACAGGTGAAAAGCAACAGAAACTAAGACACTCGAACAAGAGGTCGCTTACACGGGACGGCGGCCGCCCGCACGAGAGAGATAGAGAAGGGAAATGTAAGGAATCCTACCTACATAATAACTTAATAGAAGGAATGCTACCTACATAATAACTTAATGTAATCAATCCTACCAACGTAAAACTTAACCGCACAACTGAGACCTACAGTCAGACACCGCGAGCTCAGCGGTGGGGCGCTCAGGAACAATCCCCCTAGGAGCGCGAAATCCCATAATACTTCTGACGAGCACAGACACCCGTCAGAAGGCCCCCCTGAGGAGGAGTAGCTCAGCAAGACTAACATTATTCTTATTGGAGAAGAGGACATTGTCAGCCAATATACCCAGGTTATGGACCCCTGTTATACGAGTAGCTCAGCATTACTAACATTATTCTTATTGGAGAAGAGGACATTGTCAGCCAATACCTGTTATACGAGTAGCTCAGCAAGACTAACATTATTCTTATTGGAGAAGAGGACATTGTCAGCCAGCCTGTGCAGAGACTGGGACTCCTGAGTGTGTTTCATGACCTCGCGCATGTCGTCGTAGATGTGCAGGTCTCGCATGTCTTCACTGCAACGCACCACAACCCTGGGCACAAAACAGGGATAAGTTACACAGGGGTTATCTTCAATGAAGTTATCATAAGTTATCTTCAATGAAGTTATCATAAGTTATCTTCAATGCAGTTATCATAAGTTATCTTCAATGCAGTTATCATAAGTTATCTTCAATGCAGTTATCATAACATATCTTCAATGCAGTTATCATAACATATCTTCAATGCAGTTAGTTATTGTCAGTCATATTCACTGCAGTTATCTAAGTTGATAATCAATGCAACGTGTACGGAATCACTACTCTGGGGATGAGTCAGGGATAAGCTATAAGATCCATGCTCAACATTAATAATTCCTCACATGAAACTCATCAAGAATGGTGGAATACAGTGGGGTATATCTCTCTGATAACTTTATTGTGGAATATTAGTAAGTTAATATATGAACCAGATATAGTTAGAATTACACATGACAGTTAGGCATGATAATGAACCATGTCTTTTTTCAACTGAAATTTTTGCACTGAGCAGGTTGCCCAACCAGATTGTTTGGAATGCATGAACCATAATATTTGGTTCATATGTTCTTAAGTTCAACCTTAAATCTTAATATTGACAAAACATATTTTGGTAGTTAAAGCAACAGTAGAAAATACAGCTAATTTTCAGAAAGTTTGTGTGAAGAATGAATAAAAATTGCTCCACTCGAGGGAAGACTCGCATATTTTTGATGAGTAAAATATTGAAAATTAGTGATTCAATTCAAGAAGCATTTATATTATATACATTTCATATTTCAATTTCTATCACAAGTAGCTACAATGGTGACAACATTATTCAAAAGTTGAGGTAAAGACTGAGCAGAATGTGCATTACAAAGACATAACAAACCAAAAGTAAGTATATATTTTTTATGCAGAATGAGTAAACAAGGGGACCTATGGGGCCCTTTATTTTATAAAATCATGAGATAAAAAAATGCCTTTGAGTCACAAATTCCAGGACAATTAAAAATCATAAAAGATGATTTGAAAAGATGATTTCATTGGAAATAGAAAACCAATTAAGATGTCAAATTTGGATTACTTCAGGTCAGTGATGTTGAAGATGAACAGAACTTTCTGCACGAGGACATCATGCATCTTGAGGTGGGAGAGCTCGCATGTCTCGGGTCTGTGGTCCGTGTAAGGGTTGGCCATCTTTTCAAGAGTGAAGCCAAAAAGCTGTAAATTTAAAACAAATATTAAAATACATTTTATCTAATTGTCTAGCAAGTGCAAGTGATGCATCACATATACTGGCTAACAAACAGTTGTCCTTGCTGGCACTCAACTTGAAAAGAAAATTAATAAAATTTCTCAATTTCTCAGTTTTGTTGGATGTTGGAGTGCAAGATTGATAATCTAATTTTGAATTTTCATCAATTTAATTCTTTGCTGACATTGGACTTGCATCCTATATACCATATATAGGTACGGTATATATATAAATATCAGGAAGCATAGGTACCGGTATACCAATAGGTTATATAATTTGACTCACCTCATTTGGAGAGAGTTTTGGCTGCACTCTAAACTTGCTGACATCCACCGACAGGAAGCCATTACGGTAGAAACCAAAAGTGCTTATAGGAAAATATTGTCTGCTGTCTCCCTGAAAAAAAATAAAGATAAATTTATAGGGAATTAGAAACTACTTTCAGATGGCAAGATCAATTGCAAGAATTTGCCATGATTATTGGCTACTAGCCAACAAGCAGCAGTCACTAAGCTAATTCAACCCATTGTGGGTGCAAACATGGCTATTGCAGATGGCAGGTGACAATCTCAGGAATCTAGCTAAAAGATTTAGAAAAAAGCTCTCTTGATTTTTTAGATTGCATGGATTCCATTAGATAGGGTGGTGGGTGAGGTGGTTGCTGTTAAACCTTTGTCTGGTTCTCCCAGTCCCAGAACTGAATACTTTTTCCACTTATGAAGGATAATAGAAAAATTTTACCAATGTTTCGATATCAGAAGTTAGTAAGAGACAAATAGGTACATAATCTTTTCAATGTAAAAAATAATTAGAAATGTGATTTCTTTACCAATTTGTCACTACTGATACCTTTACTCACAAAAATTAAATATTCAAAAGATTAAGGCAAATAAATAAAATATTTTGATAAATACATACGTATGTCATATGATATGGATCAAAGTCTCATTAACTGTCAGTCTTTCTAACAAAGTATGAATGTCTTAAGTTAAAGCCTATAAAATACAAGAGAACATTTAGTCCCAATATTAATACCTAACTTACGGTTCCTTACCTTGAGTTCTAAATTATGCTTCTTGGCACTAGTTAGGCAGCAGTAGGAGAAAAGGAGGAAGACAACAGTCCACCTAATCTCTGCCATTTTGCTATAAGCAAGCACACAAAATTTAATATCCTTAAACAAACCAGTTCTTTGATAACTTATATTTCTCTGTAATATGAAGATAACAATTACAAATTCCAAGCAATATTAGATACATGTTTGAAAATGGATTATCATGGATACTATGACAGCAAAGTTTGAAAATAGATACTCAAGTAAGAACAGCTGCATAGGTATTAGACTGACTATTTCTATTGCATGTAGAGGGTTGGCATTGGCTTTTCTGCTGATTTAAGAGTCAAATTTTTGGGCTACGGCAGCGCTCCCATTTATTTGACACTAGGCTAACACTTAAATTCGTTGGAGTCAGAAGTCTCTGTCATATAGTTTCATTCTTCCCTCTGCGCACAGTAGTGACTCGTTTCATAGGTTAGGTATTAAAAGTAGTGTGCGATGTGTATGAAACAGAAGTCTCAAAGCAAAGCAGCATTAGAATGGGCAGAAATAACTCAGTCTCAGTGTCAGTGTGTCTCACTCACACCAGTCTCACACAAATATCTTGATTTTGATCTTCTACTAGTTGACGGCGTGTTCCACCAGAGGCGATTCTCGCCATAATCTGCTTATTCATTAAGTCTCAGGGCTGGAATCGACTAAAAAATAATTAGAAATGTGATTTCTTTACCAATTTGTCACTACTGATACCTTTACTCACAAAAATTAAATATTCAAAAGATTAAGGCAAATAAATAAAATATTTTGATAAATACATACGTATGTCATATGATATGGATCAAAGTCTCATTAACTGTCAGTCTTTCTAACAAAGTATGAATGTCTTAAGTTAAAGCCTATAAAATACAAGAGAACATTTAGTCCCAATATTAATACCTAACTTACGGTTCCTTACCTTGAGTTCTAAATTATGCTTCTTGGCACTAGTTAGGCAGCAGTAGGAGAAAAGGAGGAAGACAACAGTCCACCTAATCTCTGCCATTTTGCTATAAGCAAGCACACAAAATTTAATATCCTTAAACAAACCAGTTCTTTGATAACTTATATTTCTCTGTAATATGAAGATAACAATTACAAATTCCAAGCAATATTAGATACATGTTTGAAAATGGATTATCATGGATACTATGACAGCAAAGTTTGAAAATAGATACAGCCTACAGGATATGACAGCACTACCACTACAGCACTACCTATTTATTTGACAGTTGACACTAACACTTAAATTCGTTGGAGTCAGAAGTGTCTGTCATATAGTTTCATTCTTCCCTCTGCGCACAGTAGTGACTCGTTTCATAGGTTATTAAAAGTAGTGTGTGATTTTTTTTTTTTTATAATTGAATTTGAAGGCTTTGAGTGCTTATGCACTGCCCAGCCTGATCTCTGTCATTAGTTGCAGATAAAAGGAAGAGACTTGGGCCAAGCCCCAAGCTAGAGAGCTCTGGGATAGTAGTGTGTGATGTGTTATGAAACAGAAGTCTTAGACTTAGAGCAGCATTAGCATGGGCAGAAATTACTCAGTGTCAGTGTGTCTCACACACAGTCTCACACCAGTCTCACACAAATAGAGTAGGTAATCGAGTCTACTCCGTATTCATTCAATACTGATCTACGGACGTGTTAAACACCGGGCAATAAAAACACTCCATTCAATCAAGCTACCCAGCAACGCAAAACTCTCCTTGACTGAAATCAGGCGGGGAGCCTGGGAGGTGCTTATGACACCACAATATTCAACCTAATTATAAAAAAACACAGCATAACACACTCTGAGTGGGACCAATTACAACGATATTTGAGACGATCCGATCAACGATCTGATCGTCTCAACGAGAGGTCTTTATTTGAGACGATATTTGAGCTAAGCGATCTTTTTTTACAAAAACACCCAAATATGTTTATATTATTGATGTGTACAGTAACAAATAATTGCCCAAATTTATTTTTTCCGCAAATTTCTAAGATAAAATACAGAAATGACAGCAAACCGTTTGGACGAATAGAACCCATTAAATGATTTTATGGTATAAGGAATATGATGAGTTTTATTTAATAAAAAATTTTTCATGTGTGATAATCTGTAAATATATGAAATCATGTGTTTACATGTGTTATCTGTATATAAATGAAATCGATGAATAATTGGCGAATTAGTGAAATTAAATTGACGTCTGTAATATCTTGTGTTGTCTGGCATTTGAGTGGAATGGGATTTTTTTGCAATAACTCAAAAAGGGCGTCATTTGTAAAAGTTACATGTTTATATGACAAATTTAGAACACTTATAAATATATTGTCCCGAAATAAAAATACAATGTTTTTACACCACATTCAATATAAGTGCGCGTCGCCTAAAATTCGAGTAAAAGTTTGTACGTGTTTTTCTACGCCCCTTGCATTCATTCCAGTGAGAGTGATGTAACCACGGTTGAATTAATTAATTCAACCATGGATGATTAATAAGTACAGTTGCAAGGAGATCTTGACAGGCTGGTTGACTGGGCTGATAAGTGGCAGCTGCGTTTTAACGCTGACAAATGAAAAGTTATCAACCTTGGCAAGAATAATGAACAGCAAGATTGAGAAGCTGTCTCTTATACACATCTAGATGTGTATAAGAGACCGCATCTGAGGTTAGGTTTCAGATAGCATAGTTCTGTTCCAAAATTTATCGTCCTTCGACAAGTGGCCGTTCGACCGAGGGCTGGTTCGACCCACGGCCTAGATACGGACGGCTTGAAGTGTTGAAGACTACGTTCCGGAAGGCGGGAATCATGATGGTCCATTACATACAGGGCAGTGGTGGTCTTCGGCAGGCGACCCGTTATATTAGGTTTTAAGGGTTGTTGACTTTACGCTCTCATCCTCGCCGGAAGTCTCCTTCTGATCGATATCTTATTTGCACATACTGATTGCTGCAGCTATAGTAAAGTATTATGTGGGAGTGCGTGATCTATCTCCTATGATGTGCGCCAAAGCTGATGTAGAGAACCCAAGCGAAATACTACATCGGCCTACCTAATTCTGACAATACTCAAAACAAAACAAAAATATATGTAAGGAAATAGGCAGGAATTTTCAAGTATAATCAGTGTTTTCATTTTTGCATCCGTGAACCTCTATTATAGACATCTCTACTACCGCAAAAAATTTCATATGAATCACTAAGTCTCATTCTGCACGTAGAATATTTTGACTATAGTGAAAACAAGTACTCGATGAAAACGATCGTTTCCAATAAATATTAGCGAACGGGGCAATAACTTTAAAACCTTCTGTACAGACGTCGGCACGATGAAACTTTTTGACATTTTCGTAGATTTCTGATGAATACGAACTGCAAATCACGAGCTATCGAAAAACAGCAAAAAATTTTGTGTGCGTTTGCGTCGGTATTTAAATTCAATTACTTAAAAAAGTTTCGAGTCATCAGGAACTAATACACAAATGCCCAATTATCACAATTTATTATGTTGAGGCTTTGAATACAATATAAGAAAATCTAATATTCAAATATAGTCTGCGAATATTTTCCCAACAGTTTGATTAATCAGAAAATTGTAAAGGCATTAGAGTGCACGGCTACCCGATGATGCCACCACTAGCTACCACCTCCTGTAAGGCCTTGTTGTAGTCAACCACGATGTTCATGGCCTGGTTCTTAACTGGTATATAATCTGACTCAGCTTTCTTCTGAGCCACGAATTCCTTGGCTGTGAAGTTATTCATCTCCAGCAGCGCCCACTTCTTCTCCTGACTCACGAGCTGTTTGTGGGTGTCGTTGTCAGAAAGTTGTTTCTGTCGAACAAATTTATTAACTAATAATTTTATACGAGTTGTCTCTTTGTCTTTACTCTCACCCTTTTCACTGGAAAATTAAGAAAATCATGCATATTTATGTCCATTTAGGAGTGTGTTTAATAATCTCCATTTTAATTTTAATCTAAATTAACTGATAATTTCTCTCATTGAGACAGTGAGCGCGCTAGACAAATGTTCAATACAAATGTATCGGGAGGCCGCTGGGGCCAAATAAATGGCGTGTGACGACTGCTATAATGATAACCGGCCCATCTTGGGTGACAAAAACAAACTAAAAATTGCCCCAAGACTAAAAGTCTTCGAGTACATCCCAAAGGGTTCTTGCGTAGCGCAGAGTTGAGAATTAATTCATGATGATGAGATTCACGATGACGGGATTCAAGATGAGATGACTCACGATGATGGAATTCGGGATGATGGGATTCGGGATGATGGGATTCGCGATGATGAAATTCGGGTTAATTAACTTGATTAAAAACGATGGAATTCGGGAAAACGAAGATTAATATAGCCTACCTTGAGCATTTTGATGGTATCTTCTACCTCCTGGAGAGCGAAGGTCACGGCAGTTTTCTTGGCCTCCAGTTCGTCCTTCTCGATGGCCAAGTCCTTCCTCTTCTCGTCCGCCCGAGCCCTAAGTCCTTGCAAATCTCCAAACTCGACAACTTCATTTTCCATGATTTGAATTTTTTCCTTGATGTCGACCAGCTCCTTCTGGACCTTCGACTCGAGAGCCTCAATCTGTAATCAGCCTTAGAGATACTTGAAAATAAACTTGTTATCAGTTGATAACTTTGAAGAAGCAAAAGGAAGAAGCCCATCAGAAAAAAGAAGAATTATCAGTTGATATTCGTTGAAGGATAGTTGAACATAAGCTGAGAATGTATTATCTGCGCATAATATACTTAAAATGCTAATAATCGAAAAATGCATCGAAATCCTTCTGAATCAGAAATATGCAGCTTTCAGTTTTATTTCACTTTCGTTTAATTCTTATGTGATTAAGCTTAGTGCTTCGCTTATATAAAACTACCCAACCTTCTGCAAGTTGGCCTGCAAGTTGAGGTGTTCTTGTCCCAGACTTTGGACGGTGTAGCGGGACTTCTCGAGCTCGCCCTCCTTGAAGGCCAAGTCGCTCTTGAGGGTGTCGAATTCGGACACACTGCAATGGAGACGAACGACCATTAAATTTTTTAGTCCTGCCTTGTAAACAACGATCGTTAGTTCTCTTGCAGATACAAACGACCAATGATCATATCGTTGAAACGACCAACCATTGCTCCCGTCTTCCAAATGAACGATCATTGCTCCTGTCGCTAATACAAACGACCGCTATCTTGGCTATCGAAACGAGGATTAACGTTTAGTAGCAGTACTGCTGTTCAAATTCTATGAACTACCGTTGGTCAGGAATTATATTCTAGCTGACTCACTCATTCCTCATAAGTAATAACTATTACAGAAGTTCAGATTACATAAAAATTTCAAACTAACTCTATTTTAGGATGACAGTTTTTAAAAACATGTTTTTGGTAAAAAAATCGAAGAAAAATATACTATTATTGGATGGCAGTCTCTTACTGAGCGTGGCGATGTACAGAATTGCTTTAAGGTCTTAAAAGAGTTAATAGATCAGCAAATTCAATGCTCCAAAAACTTGATCTTGCAACTACTTTATTATTTATTATCAATCTACTTAATAAGGCAGCCTGCCGAAATGTATGAGGTCTCGGGAGCGTTTTTAGATCCGCTGATTCCATGCTCCAAAAACTTGACAATATAAGTAAGTTTTATTTCTCCTGTCACTTACGTATTATAATAAACCAACTTTGGCAGTCTGCCGAAATGCATGAGATCTCGTGAGCGTTTTTAGACCAGCGAATTCCATGTTCCAAAAACTTTATATCATAACTAAATTTTATTTCTCCTGTCACTTATTATTATCATAATAAATGAACTTAGGTAGTCTGCCGAAATTCATGAGGTCTCGGGAGAGTTTTTAGATCAGTTAATTCCATGTTCAAAAAACTTGACAATAAAAGTAAGTTTTATTTCTCCTGTCACTTATTATTATAATAAACCAACTTTGGCAGTCTGCCGAAATGCATGAGGTCTCTCGAGAGTTTCTCGAGCAGCAGGACGATGGCTTCCTCGACTTGCTCGATTCTCTGGGTCTCCTCGACTCGGCTTTGCTCGAACCCGTCGAGGAATTGCTGCATGGTCTCCTCGCGCTTACGCAGCTCCCTGTACTTCTGGCTACGCTCGCTCTGGTTCTCCTCGATCTCCTGACGATGTTAACAAAATGGTTTATTTGGAAGATAAAGTTATCAGAGCTTTTATACATTCTTCCAGGCGTTACTGCTCGGGATAAATATCAATTAAAAGTTGACAGAGTTCTACTGCGTTCTAATGTTCCATGGCCTAACAGCCTCACAAAATAAATTGAGGAATACATTACTGTAATTGGAATGGCACTACGTAGCGAAAATTATATAGTAGAATATCTATATTTTTTAATTCACCTAATACTTAGACTTGAGCATCAGAAAAACAAAAGGCGTATGTGATCGTTTATTGCATGAATTAGAAAGATCAAGAGATCCGTTATGTTGATACTCAAATGCTTTGGAAATATCAAGTAATCTGGCATGTTGTTACATGTGTGCTTTGGAAAGATCATAATTGTGATTGCCTGATTCATTTACTTGAGCTTTGGAAATATTAAGAAGATGATGATACTCCAGCAATAGAAAGATATCATAAGACCCTGTAGGATATTTGGTCTTGAGCAATAGAAATGGCAGTAGATCAAATACGATACATTCATGCAAGCTCCGTCAAGATCAAAAGATCGCACCTGATCAACGCTCTGGAGATCGTTTTGGAGTCGCCCCATCTCATCCTGGAGCTCACTGATCTGACGCTCCATGGTGGCGATCTCGGCGTTGTCGTCTTTCACCTAATTGAATATTCCGTACACAAAAACATTGAAATGTGAATAAATTATATATCTCAGTTATGATTTGAAGCAGTGTTTGAGCCGGGCCGGTGCCGCGCAGGGCAGGTTAGAAACAGTGGGAGAGCATGCATTTTGCAGGAATGTTCTTTTTTGAGGACTAGTTATAAAATTATTGAAATCCATCTTGCAAGTCGACCGCTACCGGGCCGACTTAAATTCTGATTCAAACCTGCTAGTGGAAGGCAGTAGACATGCCCGATCCTGCTCTAAACCTGCTCTAAACCGTTTCATACATAACAAAATCCCTCCAAGCCAATATTTGACATAGAAGATAGAAATTCAATATTACTCTAGTTTCATATATGAAAAAACTATTATGTGTTTTTCACATTAAATGTATATTTTCCAATTACAAAATCAAAGTTCAATTTTTTATCCAATCTTTTTTTCCTTTTCCTCTAATCCTTTCCTCTTCTCCTACTAGGAATACATTTTCAGGCCGGGCAATATCCCGACACGATAAATATCCTATAGATACGCTCCCCAACAGCCCCTAAATACAATATCCCAACACGATAAGTATCCTGGTTCACATCCTTACAGTCCATATAGTCGCGCCAGATTTCAAAGACACAGAATTTGCCAAATATATAAACAAAATTCAATTAATGATGCTTAAAACCGTAAAAATTACTAAAAGACCTGCAGCAGGAGACGCTCCCGCTCCTCTTTGGGGGTTCCCCGCTGTTGCTTCTCCTGCAGGAGCTGCTCTTTCTTGCTCTCCACCTCCTGGAGGCGCTCCGACAACCCAACAGCCTCCTGCTTCACCTAGTGTTGCGGTGTTATTGTTACGGTCAAATTATAAGTCCTGATCCCTGGTAACATCTAGATACTATAAGTGGTGCAAATACACGTTCATAGAGCGTTCGTGCATTCACAGCGTCAGGCATCAAGAACTTACGAACTTACTAAGAACGAATACGTTCGTAGAAAGTTACGAACTTTCTACTTACGAACGAATTGATAACAGATTGAATACAGATGTAAACAAATTAAATACCGTACAAACGATGACGGATAATAATAGACGTACATGTAATTTTTAAAGAATTTAAAACATATTGAATGCCTTAGAGACGACGAAGGAGTATAAACACCAAAGTAATTTTTCCAAAATGTATAACAGACTGAGTTACCTTAGAGACGGCGAGCTCGTCTTCTAGCGACAGTTTGCGGGCGGTTAAAGAGTCGATCTGTTGCTGCAGTTGCTCCATCTGTTGCTGAAGGTTCCTGTTGTTATTCTGCAGCTGCGTGTACCTAGTAACAGAAAAATTGTGGTGATGGTTGGGTAGGAACAACAACAAATTTGGATGCGTTACCGACTCTGCAACAGGTGCCGCCTAGGACTCGGGGAGCACGTAAATCAGCCGCTAATGTCTGCTTCGGCTCGACGTGAAGAGTAACCTCTGAGTAGCGCGCAATCTCGGCCAGCCCAACCCTAGTGATCCTCCCAGGACAAATTTAATTACCACACTATCAGGACACATTTATAGTATTATCAGGACATACCTATCACGCCATCAATATACATTTATCTGATATCAATCATCATATCAATCAATCTCCCCGCTCATCATACTATCAGGACACTCCTGTCATACTCTCAGGCGACTGTAAAGTTGAAAAGTAGATTCTGATCACGAGATGACTTCGATTGGGTGGCCAAGCAGGCACAGGTTCTTTTTAAGTTTTTGCAGCTGTGATCACCTACGCAAGAACAGCAGTGATAGTTTGGAAGCTGAAGGTGATCTCACGAGTGGAGTCATTTTACGATTGTAATCAAATTAACGAAGTTAGAGGAAATGCAATCGATCACTCGGAAAAGTGTGTAAGACCTTGTCCAAATAGCGATACATGTTTTACTAATTGTTCACTTTACAGCGATGCACTTTAGTGATGTCCTAATCCCCTCCCCCACCTCCCCGGGCTGCATCCCCTCGATGATGCTCTCCCCTACCTCCCCTTGAGGACAGGCTGCATCCCCTCGATGATGCTCTCCCCTACCTCCCCTTGAGGGCAGGCTGCATCCCCTCGATGATGCTCTCCCCCATGTGGCGCTCGTCCTCCAGCTGCGCCTCCATGCCCCTCACCGCCGCCTCCAGCTCCTTCTTCTCCTCGAATATCGCCTCCAGCTTCGCCGACTCCTCCTGTGTAGAAATCCTTGTATTAAATTGTGTGTGGGTTATTTCTATGTGCATACTATTCTCAACATTGCGTTCAGCATGGTTAGCTATGAGATTGATGCAATATCGTTAATGTCATTGACGACATGTATGGGTATGGGCCGTTTTTACCTGCCATTTTTAAGTGTATGGGGCAGTTCTATGTGTATGCCATTTTATAGCGTGGAAAAAGCAAGTGTTCAGCATGACCAGCCCCTGACACTCGCCTGGTTCAGCATGGTCAGCTCCTGACACTCTTCGTCTATCTCTATCTTCTCAGTGTCAGTATTCGTCAGATCCACCAAGAGATTGTAATCGGCCAGCGTGCCCTGCAGCTCTGGGTATAAATACATGCAGTATATATACACCAATATTACACAAGTAACACAACAGTATAGAATCGACATTGTTTCAATTAAGTCGTAATATTTTTATTCTCTGTACCAAAAATACACTAGTATAGTACCGATATTATATTTATACATAGATGATTTGCATGTTACAAATAAGCCAGGGTTGACATAAAAAGGCAGCAGGTGTTCAACATGATTAATGTGATTGCTGGTCGAGGATTAAGAGCGTCCATCAGCGCGGTCAGCCGCGGTGATCTACATATATGGTGTTTATTCACTATGTCTCTTGCAGTAACTTTATTCGGAAATAAGATCATAATCTGAGATTTTGAATGAAATTTCAGCTATATATTTCGAATCATAGACGTTAAGAAAAATTGTGAAAACCTTCATTCCAACTGGTAACCTTAAGGCAAAATTTGAGCTCTAAAACTCGAGTAGCGCGGCCCATTTATCTAATATTTTCTAGATAAGCATTTACTCTAAAATTCATTCCCCACTAATTGATATGCCATGCAACCCTCGATCAAAATTTTTTTAGTTGATACGACCAAGTACCCAAATAAGTAGTGAAAATGCCATAGATTAATCAGTAATTTCTCCTTCGATTTTCGTACATTGAAGAAGTCAAGTCCTGAGCATATTGGCTGGGTCGGCCAGAGCAAATTGGCGCCGGCCGACCACTGGCTATCTACCGGCCACCCGAAAGCCACCCGTTGCCTCAAAAAGAATATTCTTGAAGCAAGGGGGGCGTGTGTTGGCCACAAATATATCTTTGAAGTGATTACGGTAGCAAGGGTTAGTGAACCAACACGACATCGTAATAATAAGAGATGCCCGTGTCCACCCACCTGTGAGTTCCTGCGCCATCTCCTTGACCCGCTTATCGTACGTCAAGAAGCTGCTCTGCTCGTGCTGCATCGCCGTGATCTTCGCCGCCATCTTGGTCATCTCAGAGGCCAAGTCCGCCATCTTGGTCCTCAGCACGCCCATGAAGTAGCTTTTGTCTTGCACCTTAAAACAGCATCAAAAATAATTAGAAACTTATCTTATTATCGTTTTTGTATTTTATCTTGAAACACCGTCAAAAATAATATAAACTTGTGTTGCCTTTGTCTTTCACCTTGCCATTCCTTAACTTGATTAGATTCATCTCTAAATGCTAATTATAATAGTAGTTTAATCTCAGAGCAAACCTTACAAAGTATTAAGTTTAAAATACACATTTCCTTAACTGTGTTAAGATCTATACTCGTTATTAAAATAAGACGCTATTATCAAATGAAGAAACTGTTCTCAGCCATACTCAAAATCATAAATATTTCAATAGCTTGGAAATGCGTAACCAGTAATTAAGATATTATCGTAACATCTGTAATCAGTAAGCATCTGACTCACGTAAATCAGATCCTAATCTTAACTATATAGATAATGAACTCAATCGTATCAAAAATTTACAATATGTATAATGGGTGATTTACCCACCTGCCTGGCTGGAGCCCGAGCGCCGGTCTTCATGCCTGTTAAGCCCTGTTGAGTGATGGGTCTGTCCACCACGTTAATCTGGTGAGATGAAAAGATAATATATATTGCTTATCAAAATTATATTTTATATTATACAATTTGCATTAATGAATGAAGTTCATGGCTTCAATGAAATTGGGTAACTTGAGCTTGGCCAGTGTCTGGAAAGAAGCTGAATAAAATATTATTTTACGGACCACTGAGACAAAAATAGAGATTATTTACGCCGCTGAGACACGTCATAAACACCACTGAGACTAGTTACGCGGCTGAGACTGGCCAAGATATAGTGACTAGTTACGTCATAGAGACTAATTACGCCATAGAAATCAGTTACGTAGCTGAGACTAGTTATTTACACATTGAGACTCTTTAAGCGACCGAGAATAGTGTTGATTTTAAACCAGTTGCACGGCTGAGACTATAATCACGCAACTGGGATATCTAAATGCAGGTTTCAGAGTCCCTAGACTTTTGTGAAATTTTATTCAGCGCTGATTCAACGTAACACATCTGCTTGGTGGACACGGTAAGTATCCTGGATACGCGCCCCAACAGCCCCTATATACAATATCCCGACACGATAAGTATCCTGGATACGCGCCCCAACAGCCCCTATATATTGTGACGTGAGGCTTACTCGACACAAACTTTGAGAAATATTTTTAAGATTGTACATTAAATATGAATGAATATTAAAATGTGAATTAATACCCATGAATATAATGAACATAACAGTCATGATTATTAATGAATATAATGATATTACAGGGGTGTTGAGGCCCCTGGTGGTGGTGAGGCCACCGCGGGTGCCGGGGCGCACGGCGGACGCGGCGTGCAGGAGGCGCGTGGCCGTGGACGGCGCGTTCTTGAGGGCGGCGCTGACGGGACGTGACGTCAGGAGACGTCCTGACGTCGTGGGGCGCGTCAGGGGCGTCGCGCTGTCCTGGACCACGTCAGTAAATGAACAGTTAAATGTTCATAATTTGAGAATACAATTCAAATACATCATTAAATACAAAATCCAACTCGATAATTAAAAACACCTTTGAAATAAGTAAATAAATAAAATTATTTATTTTAGTAATATTATTTTAATACGTTAAAATAAGTAATAAAATTACTTATTTTAATTAAATTAATTTTAAAATTAATTTAGTAAGTAATGAAATTACAGCTTATCTAAATTCTGTGAGCAAGTAAATATTATTATTAACTTTGTTTCGTAATTTTTTTATTTCCGTTTTTTAGTTAATTTTGAATTAATATGAAATTTTTACTTGAAGTAGGTGCTGCATTTTGTTGATCCTGTTTATAAAAAATTTTGTTTTTTATTCTAACGAAGTTTTTAGTTTTTCATTTTAAGCTCACCCGGCGATCGGGATGGACCCCAACCATTGGGCCCGAGTGGTCCGGGTCCCCAGCCCGGGACATACGGCCCGCTGAAATATATATGAAATAACGGAAAAAAGCATTTAAGTACGGAAAAAATCCATCACTTTGATATATAGAAACTTCAAAGATGGAAGGAACTGCACAACAAAATTGTTATCTTCTCTGCACGAACTTAACAGGGATGTGGAAGTTTATGGTTCATTTAGATCGATAAACACAACTGTTATTTTTTGAGGATATTTTTTTGAATTAGTAACAAAGTTTTTCAAAAAGATTGATCGATACTCACGGTCAATATTTTTGATCGTTAGATCAAAGATACTAACCCTAAGATACTAACCTGACGTGAGGGGGCGCATGCCTGACACTGCCGACATTCGACCAGACCTCGTGGGCAGCCTGTCCATTGCACCTCCTGGAGTGTACAGTTACGTTAAGTTAAGTTATAAATTGATTGTATTCATTTATAATATAATTTTTTACCATATTGAATTTATCCATCTTTTGGTCAGCTGAAATACAGAAATAAATCTTTTGATGCAACAGTTCGACCTACGATTTTTTTTTGCTGACCGAATCCTGGAAGTCATAACATACAATGAAATGGCTATCTTCATAACACCTCATATCTCCCTGTACCATTAACAGCTACAAATAATAATCAACAATCAACTCGTACACAGCCAGAGAATCCTTGGCCTAACCTTCGACAATAAGGCATAATTCCAAACCACCACAAAACCATAGCATCAAAAGCCTCCTAACATATCAAAATACTCTATCCCTTCTCAGGAACATCAATTGGATATGACAATGAACCTCCCCTGGAAACCTACAAAGCCATCGGCCACCCTATAACCGATTACGCCTGCCCAATCAATACCCAAATTACGAAGTCACCAACTTCACCTGCCTCCAAACAATTTAAAAGGCCACCCAGCGAGCAATATTTGGTTGCCACTACACAATAACGGAACAACAAGCTCATGCACTCTTAAATGTCCCATGCTGACCGTTCAACAATACACTGACCTCCTCTCTACCCGTACCAAATGCACTGTCAACAAATCACAAGACCAAGCCATCAACTTAGTAACATGAACGGCCAATACGCCAAATACTTCATTGCTCATGAACCAGTTCTACCCATCAATATTTACAGCATCACCCCGTAAAACAGTCAGTTACACCCGCCACTTCAATACCGCTCGAGCTACCATCGACTCGTACCATTCCCGCCATATTGGTGCTGCTTAATGACTTGTCTCCTCCTTTCCCAACAATAGCCAAATTTGAACGATCAATTCTTAGATCAACCGGTAGCACGCTGGCCCGAATTCATTCCGATCATTTCTTTCATCTAACCAGCTAAAAAAGCAGACCAATAATCCCATCAGCAACATCTGTAGGTACTGCCATCTTTTTCCCGATGATGAGCCTCATTTCTTCAATTGCGCTTACGTCCCAACTACCCCCAACATCATAGACCTCTGGCACCCTGGCTCAATCCTATAGTCAGAACCAATATTGCTGAGGTCTAGAACAGGGCCCCAACAACAAAAAGAGGTTAATAAACACAAATATATTAAGTCACCGCATGCGCCCGAAAATATCCAGTCACTTAATTTTAAAGATGAACCAAACTTGAATTGCTCACCTTGTCCTCGGGACACCAGACTCTCGCGACCAGCTGATCTCTCCCGGTCCAGAGGGTAGCCTGCCCTTGATGGCGGAGGGTAGCCCGACCTAGATGGCGGAGGGTAGCCCGACCTTGATGGTGGAGGGTAGCCCGACCTAGATGGCGGAGGGTAGCCCGACCCTGATGGCGGAGGGTAGCCCGACCCTGATGGCGGAGGGTAGCCCGACCTTGATGGCGGAGGGTAGTCCGTTTTGGCTTGGTTTTCTTGACCACCAGAACCGTTCTCTTCAGGACCAGAGTGGTTTTCATCAACGTCGTACAGCTTTCCGCTTCCACTAAACCGGTTGCTGCGGTTTGTCTGCGTGTAGTCCTCAAAACCTTTTATATTGTCATCAATTGAAACCCGATTGCTCTGGTTTGTTTGTGGCCGAGAAGAACCCGGTTCCGCTTCAGCTTCAGACAACACCGAGGTTGGTCGGCTTATGGCCTCTTCTTCGGGGGCCTCTGCTTCAGAAGAAGCGTCGATCTCTTCCTCGCCCGACAACTTGAAGCAAAACAAACACATTAGATTTGTGTCATTTGATCCAAGCGAAGTTTATGTTACTTCAAATCTGATTACCTGTAGGATTATAGCATTACCAAGGGCTGGTGCTTATAAGTTTGGACGGGCAGACAACCTGCCGCATTCGTGAAGTACTAGATGCTGATTGATTCATGTATAGTATTTGATACGGACAAACTTATATTCGGTCCATGATTTTCAGTAAATGAAAATAAATAGATATTCTATCAATGAATTAAATTGGTGTCTCACGAATAGATTTTAGATTGGGAGACCCGAATTGATAAGCAATTTCTAACGAAGTCATAAATAGTTTCAAGAAATTATGTGTTTCGAAAGAGTAAAAAATGTTGACTGTAGTGCAAACCGTGATAGTGCAATTCTGCAATGCTCTGGTACCGATCGCGTATAACATAAATTTTTACCCTTTTTAGCCTCTTCTTATAGAATATCGGATACTTCTTAGTATTCTTTTTAGTAAGACACATCTAGGAACAACAGCGAACGCATTTAAAAACAGATAGTCTTGATATATAGAAGCTTTATTCTAGAAGACACATCTAGTATCAGCAGGGAGCGAATAAAAAAATACGCGCTTTTCTACAGAGGTTTCCACCCACCCCGGGAACATCAAAACACGTGTCACTCATCTAGTGCTGCCACACGAGCTTATGGAAGAACAGGACATATAGATCATAGAAAGATAAGATAAGACTATTGAAAATCCGGTGAACAGGAAGCATTTGAACGCACACTGATTGCGTTTTATTATCATTGAAAAATATTTTCGTTACTCAAAACGTTTTAAACAAGATCAATAAGCGTTTCCTTGTGTAATTGGTCAACACATTTGAGTATAAATGCACTTAAACGCAACGAACACAGCTGTATATATGTTTACACAGTAAACACAGCTTTTGAACACACTGCGCGAACGGTTGTGTTCACACACACACAGAAACCATGTGGTTCAGCACTGACATTGGGGCAGAGATAAGTGCGGTTCACACATTCACAGGAACCATGTGGTTCAACACTACCATTGAGGCAGGAATAGGTGCGGTTCACACACACACACAGGAACCAGGGTTCGGCACTACCATTGTGGCAGGAATAAGTGCGGTTCACACACAAACACACACACAGGAACCAGGGTTCAGCACTACCATTGGGGCAGGGTTAAGTGCGGTTCAGAAGACTGGGTGAACCGACGTTTGAGAAGCGATCCTGGAAAGCCGCGGCGGTAAATACGGATAAGATTATTCACAAAAAATTACGATTAAGACTTCATGTTAACATTTTATTCTTAAAACCGGTAATTGAAGGCTAAAGCGGTCATTTTGAAATTTAACGAGAAATGTAGAAAATGGAATAATCAAATACGCCGACCGATAGCTGACGTATAATTTTTCTTATCGTTTTGTCATCTATTCTATTGATTACAGCTACATATTGTGCCTAAACTATATCCTTAATGTTCGTCTTACGTATATTTGGATAATATATCTTATCCACTATACTGCACTTTAATTATATAAACTGAATTATTCAAATTTTATGCGTCGAGTAAAATGCGTATATGTCTTGAGTTGAAATTTTGCGCAGAGGTCAAATTTTTTCAGGCAAATGTTTTCCTATTGAAGCAAATAACACACATAGCATACAGTATAGTATACACATAGAAAACAAATTTTATCTTAAACAAGAAGATATATTCACATAACACATGTGATACGAGGGTACATATACACGTAACACATGTGATCGTTTACACATAAAACAAATTATATAGGATTATGCATAATTATATATCCTTTACATATAGGAATACATACACTGAAAACATATCATATACGTGTGGGAGAAACTCTCTATAAGACTATACGGCTGATTATTCACTCAGAGAAATGAACGAGATTTTGTCTAAAATTTCGGCATTTAAACATTGAAAAGTTCATTAATACATAAATATAAGTAATGACTAAAAGTCTGCTTTGTGATTATGTTCTCAAAGTTACGCAGAATTGAAACAAAATGTGCTAACAAAATACAAATTATACATTTAAAATAAAGAGTGCGAAAATTAGTATAGGTTGGCAGAATTTCTTCTTTCAAGCAGGTTCCATTGAAGACCAGAGATTTGCCAGTTCAAACTAAAAATATTGTTCGATATATTGAAAAAACTAATAAGAAAATTGCGAATAAAACAAATTCTCTGGTCTTCAATGAAACCTTTTTAAAATAAAGAATGCACAATCGATGCCCAGAGGTGAAGAATAATGTGTCATACCACTCATACGTAGTTTTTGCTACTTTTTTTCAGCTCCAATTTTCTATCTCTCACACAATTTCATCGCCAACGCTTCTCCTCGATTATTTTCAGATGATTTTGTTTCCATATTGCGCTTCAATGAGATATTGTTAACCTAACCATAATTCCCGACCAATTCAGGAAAATTATATCAGATCACGGTTGAACTGCCTGATATTTCTACCAGAGTTTCGTTAATGATCATGATTACCTAGAGGATAATGCTACAACTATTCGAAATTAATAGTTTGTCTGCTTCTCTAGGTTAAAATAAATTATAAATTTTAAAACTATGATACGGAAACAAGAAAACAAAGCGCAAAAACAGGTACGGAATACAAAATATATGCAGTCAAATATGATGTATAGTTAGCTAAAGTTAACTTTCATTGCTTAAGTCATTAAATACGCGTAGAATTGTTGAAATTACATACCTTATGTTCTAAATGATGTTGTGGATGTTATTTAACTATGTAGTGATGCTTCCTCAGTATCAACGATGATACGAATACGACTCTACATTGCTTATATTGTGTTGTGCATGGTTGCCATAGCGACCACACTGGCAGTCCTGCTGGCCAATTTCCAATCCACAACTGATTCAGAGAACAATATATTACTATGGAAATTATAATTAAAATGTCTTTTAGTGTTAAGTTTTCATCGTCAAAAGTATTATTATAAATGTTTTTTTTTTTTGCCTATGTTGAATTTGCAGAGAAGTTTCGTTGCTACTGATCGAACTACATGCGATGTGATCAAAGTAAACGTACGATCTGATCGAACTACATACAATGTGATCGAAATAAACGTACGATCTGATCGAACTAAACGTACGATGTGATCGAACTACATACAATGTGATCGAAATAAACATACGATCTGATCGAATTAAACGTACGATGTGATCGAACTAATCATACGATCTGATAGAACTAAACGTACGATCGGATCGAACTAAACGTACGATGTGATTGAACTAAAGGTACGATTTGATCGAACTCAACGTACGATGTGATCGAACTAAACGTACGATCTGATAGAACTAAACGTACGATCGGATCGAACTAAACGTACGATGTGATTGAACTAAAGGTACGATTTGATCGAACTCAACGTACGATCTGATAGAACTAAACGTACGATCGGATCGAACTAAACGTACGATGTGATTGAACTAAAGGTACGAATTGATCGAACTCAACGTACGATCTGTCTGTCTGCACGATGTCTGTACTTCACGTACCGCCTGTCTGCACGATGACTGTACATGATGTACCGCCTGTCTGCACGATGTCTGTACTTCATGTACCGCCTGTCTGCACGATGTCTGTACTAAAACTTTCCTGTCAGAATCAATATAAAAAAATAATTATTAATAATAATATGAACTAATCCGTTTACACGGATCTCAATAGGAATGCAATAGCAATGTCACGCTCTCTTCTGCTGTCTAGTGCCTGGTGAGACGTTGACGTTTGAAGGTTAGGTATTTAATGCGAAAATTCTGCGCTTGGATTCGGTGACAAAACCTACTCAAGTTCTTCTATTTGCTTGCTGTTACAGTCTTGAACACGCTTCCTGTAAAAAATGGTGAGTTGAATTAATGCCCGATTATAATTCGAGGGAAACTTTTGTTTGTATGAACTTGAAGTGAGTTAGTACTTTCACGTTACGGTTACACATCACGGTTATATCCATATGTAGTAGGGGAGAGATTTCTAGCGCTTCAGAATTCAGATCGTCCATATGTACATTGTACAGTATGCACTGCCCTACCTACCTCATGGCCTTACTCAGCATTTAGCAAGATTGAAAAATTTCAACTGTTGAAATATGATGGCTATCAACTTTTCAAGTCACAAATTTTGGTTAGTTAGGTATTCTAAATTTGAACTTTCAATTGTATTATTTTTTTAAATTTCAGATGGGGGAGAATTGCATCTTTCTAAGATAATTTTGTAGAATTTATACAATGTATATTTGTAGCTCTTAAAATTTAAAATTATAAACTGTTAGCACTTAGCAAGGTTGCCATTGCCAAAGTAAAAAAGTTCACAGTGCAATAAAAGCAGAGTGGCAACCTCACTAATTGACAGTAGGCCTAGCCAGTTGCCACCAGACTCGAGGCACCAGTATCATTCATGGCAGTATGTAATTTTAGACTTCTAAAAATCTTTGCAATTTGTATACTTCTCTTGTGACCTGTAAAATGTAAATGTATATAAATATCCATTGTATTTTTTGCTTCTTATCTCATAGGCTAGCCTAGCATACCTACCTATTTTGCTAACTAATCCTTATTCCTTACTAACATATTTTGTAACTTAAGTAGGTAATAAATTGGAATGCTCAGTATTTCTCATCAGTTACTTTTTAGCTGACAATAAGCTGAGCCTGCTGAGGTTACCTGCCCTTTTCAAAAAACTGGAAAAAGTTTTCTCTTGGGATAAAGAATGATATTTCCAATGAAAAGCCATTAATTTTCTGATCCTTTATATGGTAGTTTATCAAAAATTTATTTTATTCTGACATAGTATATCAGTAATAATATCACTATCATTGACTATTTCTCATGTCAGAATGTCTATTCATAAGATCACTATAAATCTGTCAATGAAGTAGGAATTAATGTAGCGGGTTTTAGCCTATTTTAAAATACTATACTCTCTGTCCTCTGAGTTCTGCCATAACTTGAGACTACAGTATGATATTAGAGCTAATATTTTTGACAAATAATAATTGATGTCAATCATGGAGTGTTCTTTATTTGCAAAAAATAATTTGTATAAATAGTTCTGTAGTTCTAAAATTTTTATTCCAGAAATCCAAATAATTTATAGACTTGATTGATGGGATTCTTGTTTTAACTGACCTACTTCTTTTCAGGCTGAGTTCATGTTAAAAGAACTCCCTGTTCACAACAGTGAGAACTTCAGTAAATTTCAAGCTGATGCACACAAGAGAACATCTGCTAAGAAGCCACCTGTTTATGTCCCTACAAATGAAGACTACCCTTCACTTGAGAGTGGGTGCTCGTTGTTAGACATTTTGTGCTCTTTGCTGGAAAGTATGTGCCTTTTAGTATATAGTAGTACCTATGTGTGTTTTACTACAGTGTGTATGTTATAGTTATATTTTCAATAGCTTATTTCAAACTTATAAAGTTTCTGAAAGTTTTAAATTTCTTCCTATTATTCTGAAAAAGTTTGGTACATTTTTCCCCCATCATTAGTCTATTTTCTGCTAATACTTTCAGTTGTTACGGAGAAGACAAACATCCTCCTGCGCTACCTTTATCAGTCTTGGGAGAAGAAGGTATGTGTCGTAAGGATAAGTGTGCAAGTCTGTCATTTGGGTCATGGGTAAACAAGAAATTTCTTGAATCTACTGTCATGAAAATGAATGGGTCATATGGTTAAAATAGTGACATGAAATTCCTGTATGTTACATAAAATTCCTGCACTGATATAACCTTTTGCTGGCTCAAACTAAAGCAGGATGACCCATAAATGGTCAAAATGCATCATTATTTGGATGAAGTCATGTCCATTTAACTGACAGTATCAAAAATTTTTGATTCTATGGTTTACAGAAATAGTACAAATTTGTACCCATAAGGTACTCTAGAGTGAAAAGAAATTTTTCTGATGCTGGATAATAAAATCAAACTAAATTGAAGCTCATTCATTTGTAGTGTCCACGCCGCAACAAGCGAGAACTGAATGAGTCTCGCAGCGGGGCTGATGATGCTGGCAACAGTCCTAGTAATGGCAACAACAACCAGTCTGCCAGTTCATTCAGCCAAACTAGCTCCTCTTCTGGCAGCAGTCTTAGCAGCAGCAACCCCAGCAGCAGCAGCAGCAACCCCAGCAGCAGCAGCAACAACCCCAGCAGCAGCAACAGCCTACAACCACGACACAAGAGGCCTCGGCACGACCACCCCAGCACCAGCAACGACTCCACGTAGCACCAAAGCATCTAATTAGCTTACAATGTACTTGTATCAAACTCCCTCTTTCTATTAAGTTCTTTTATAGGGTCGTATTATTTGAATTCATTGAAGCGGGATGGAATGTGACAAATTAATCCTTGACTCTGAGTCTGTTTGTTTACTTTGATTGGTTTTCTTAAATTTTCTGTTATTGCAATACATACTTGAGTCATTCAATAGAGGTCCAGCTCTAAGCTGTCATCTTTACTATGACAAGTCACTTTGATCTATGGTGATATCTAAGTTATAAATACCTTACTTGGCTTTGTTCTGAATTTTCTTCTGAACTAAACTTGCCTTGGTTGTGAATGAAAAATAGAATCACGATTAATAAAAGTGGGTCGGCAACCATACAGTGGGTGTGATGTCAAGTGGTCTCAACAAATGAGGCCTATTCTGTTTATATTAAATGGCAACCTTTAACCTGTGACCTTTCTAGTGCTGCTCAGGCTACCAAATTTCCGCAGTATTTCCAACGTTTTCAAGAAGGTCCCAGGATATATTTAACTTCATGATACCTGTTCATGCATTGCAAATTTCTAGCCTGCTGTTGGCGATAAGTAAACATGAACTTTTTGATGAGCGCTTGCTGCTTATTGTGACTTTGACTGCACACTTGGTGATTGATGCTGGTCAATTATTTTACTTAATTGTTTAGAAAAAAATACTTGAATCTCTTGTTGGAATTCAACTTTACATGATTATATTGCATGTCTTTAGCTGTCATTTGTCACCCAAAGTGTTACTTGCACATGGCAGATGAAAGCTAATGGTGGTCTAACACCAGAAGGCAGCCAAAGGAGTTACTTGTAGGCAGAAGGCAGCCAAAGGTGTTACTATTCGTGGCAGATGGCAGCCAAAGGAGTTATTCGTGGCAGATGACAGCCAAAGGTGTTACTCATGGCATAAGGCAGCCAAAGTGTTACCTACTGTTTTAGTCTGAATCATCATTACTGTACGCGATCGTGGTGTACAGGACAAGATGGAGGTGCGCTTCCAAGTTATTGTATGGCGTAGTTGCTGTAAAAGTACATGCGTGCAGAGCATTAAAGTAACTTGATTTATATGTTTCCCATATATTAATGTGGAATCAAATGGCTTCTGTTCCCCAAAATTTTTATCGTTTGTGAGTGATATTTTAAATGTAGTTTTGCGTGGCGCTGAAGCCTCGTGTATGCTCCGGTGACGGGATACAAATGGTGCTTTTACAGAGGAGCTTTGAGGCTGGAAATAGGAAGGCGAATGAGAAGTTGTTATCGTTCAAGTTTAATTTAAGTGTTATTCTTGTATTTCAAGTACGGTATTCCACAATTCGTCTGATTGTGAGTTAGATTATTTCTTGTGCTCACTGTTATGTAATAGTTAGGTAAGTTTATTTCTTTAGGGGTAATTCTTAAACAGTGCTGAGTTTCAAGTTCATTAAGCAACTTTCTGTTTGAATCAAAGAGTAAGTTTACCGAAAATTTGAGATAGTTACTGGAAAATTGTCACGATTTGTACCAGGTATCAAATTAACTAGTGCCGCCACTTTTTATTGACACTTTATGCTTCTTAGCTCCGTACATTTTATACAAGTGGTTATGACATATGGGGTCTAGTTTTATCGAATAAATGCGAAATAGCTACGAAAAAAAAATAAATTCTACCTGGGGTCTACCTGCTAACCATTTAATGGCTACGACGCCTGGGGTCTGCCTGCTAACCATTTAATGGCTACGACGCCTGGGGTCTGCCTGCTAACCATTTAATGGTCCATTTAATGGCTGCAACGCCTGGAGTCTGCCTGCTAACCATTTAATGGCTGCGACGCCTGGGGTCTGCCTGCTAACCATTTAATGGCTACGACGCCTGGGGTCTGCCTGCTAACCATTAAAAACAATCTCGGGTCTCTGTCATCAGTGAAGCTGGTATGAGAGTTCGACCGCAACATATAAACCAAGCCACACTCTTGCATTTCGACGTGCCAAACCCGCCGCGGATATCATTATTATTTTTGCAATGGACATGATGCCTTACCCACACTTAGCTTTTGGTTCACCGGACGGTTTTAAGCCTGACTTTGTCATGCAAAGTACTGTTAGTTTGCTTAATACTTCTCATTGTGCCGTTGCTGTACACTCGGATGTTGTTCATTAATAGTCTAATGTTGTTAATCTATGGTCACTCTGTTCTCACGCTAAAGTTTTTTTTTTTTTTGCCAGGCTCTTCCTTATTTTATAAGAACTGCCGCCATTATTTTTCCTGTCGAGCATTAGCATCTAGTTTTAAATCTATTGTATTTCTGGTTACACTTATTTGCTTAAAGGCTCTGACTGTTCCTCCTTATACAGCATCTTGGTGTTATTGCTTCGACTTGGTGTTTGAAGGAAGCCACTTTTTATGACTTTAGTTGTATTTGAAGGCAATTAAATTTATTTGATGGGTTTGAATTTACGTTATTACCAGTAACTTTGATATCTTTGGTCTTGCTGTCAAATAACTTTAATTAAAATTACAAGTAATAATACTGATCTTTAATGCACTGACTGGGAACTTCACATGCTTTCATTCCTAATGAAGGTCTGGATTTCTCTAAATATATTTATTCTTTGTGAATGTTTACTTCATGACCCATCGCTTTGAATCTATGTGCCGCGGTAGCTCAAAATATATGCTTATGACGTCACGAATTCAATTTGTTATCCTCGTAACNCTTTCATTCCTAATGAAGGTCTGGATTTCTCTAAATATATTTATTCTTTGTGAATGTTTACTTCATGACCCATCGCTTTGAATCTATGTGCCGCGGTAGCTCAAAATATATGCTTATGACGTCACGAATTCAATTTGTTATCCTCGTAACGTAAAAAATATTGACATGAGATGCGAAGTCCTCGTCGGAGAAGACCTGGTTATGGGCCTTAATTAGCCACACTACGCTAATAAAATTATTTAGATTACTATTTCGGACATGACGCTCGGAGACCTTTTCGCAAGGTACACTCGGAAAAATGGATGGGTCACTTTGTCCAGGTGTTGACATTTCCTCTACGTAACACAGATGGGCAAAACTGCGGCATGATGACCCAAAGAATTGCAAATGTCCATCGCTATTTAGAATAGAAGTGTCGGCATTGAAGAAAATAGGCCCATGGCCTGTTACCGACTCTTGAACTTTTCGCGACTTGATTCACAAGGGATCCGGCCTTTGGAAAACGATCTTTCCATAGCTGACGATTGATTGAGATAGCTGCTGGACTTATTGCCTGCTCCGTAATTTGCTAGGCATTTTAAGATGGACAGACAAAGTCTCACATTTCCATGAGTGTACGACTGGACACAAGTGAATATCCCAGTGAACGGTGTGGGCCATGGGTAAAATCATAACAATTGTTCAACCATGGGTGTTAGGTTGGTTGGTGCTAACGACTCCTTCTATTAACTACCGTCATTATCGTTAGGTCTTAATTTTCCTATTGTTTTATTTCTTTTTCTTGAAGTCGTCTATGAACTTAAATCCAAAAAACCTTCTTTTTCACCCATCAAGAGTCCGTACGTCACCTTTGCTGAGCGTGTGTAACGTTACGAAGAATGTGTAGCGTTAGGAAGAATGTGTGTAACGTTACGAAGAATGTGTAGCGTTAGGAAGAATGTGTGTAACGTTAGAGAGAATGTGTGTAACGTCAGAAAGAATGTGTGTAACGTTAGAAAGAATGTATGTAACGTTAGAAAGAATGTGTGTAACGTTAGAAAGAATGTGTGTAACGTTAGAAAGAATGTGTGTAACGTTAGAAAGAATGTGTGTAACGTTAGGAAGAATGTGTGTAACGTTAGGAAGAATGTGTGTAACGTTAGGAAGAATGTGTGTAACGTTAGGAAGAATGTGTGTAACGAAGAGAAACATTTTGCTAGTTCTAGCCTTCATGGTCCCGCATAGCTGAGAGATAAATTACTTCTTTAGCCACCTTGAGTTTAAATAGTTAACGTTCTCAAGGTCATCAACAAAAATTTAATAAAAAGTCTAAGAATTCTCTTTGGTTTAAGTTGAAAATTCATTTTAAACATAAAAATTTTTAAATTATTTACAATTATTTAGCGGGAAAGTATTTATTTCAAAGTTTAAGACTGAGCCTTAACTCTTATCACATTTGGGTCTAGGGAGGGAGGGGTTAAGAGTTCTTAACTGATAAGAGGAACGCAGCTGTTGAATTCTTCGCATCTGCAGTTGCAAGTTGATACTTTCAAGTGTTGAGCCTGTTTCCTAATGTCAAAGCTTTTATTAAAAGTAACGCGGGGTGTTACCCATAAATGGGAAATTTATGTTTCTATTTCTTTCTCTATGGAACTGTGAACACAGATTATGTAAATTTACTTAATTTTTTGAAATGGAATTCGGTAACGGGTAAATAATGTTTGTGATAATAAACAAAACAACAACAGAGCGAGCGTGCAATGAAGTCGACGCACTGGTGTAAGGAATTCACCTGCGTGAACTGTCAATAAGAAGCCAATTTATTTCTTAAAATCGTATAAAACAAAGTTATGTTAGAACATATAACATTTATTTATTTTATATATTTTATAGTTTATTTGTTTTTGATATATATTGTATACAATTTTGTATTCATCAATATTAAAATATAAATTAATGCTTTAGACCACTGCCAGTTTCTCACGCTGCCCATGAGTCCTTGAGCTGCACAAAATAATTATAAATTCAATAAATAATTTCGCACGTTTTTCCCCACGAAAACATCCAGCTGAAGCTAATTGGCAATCAGATTTGTTTTCGTGACGTGGTCGGTGTTCATGCAATTGGCCAGTTCATAATTCCCTGATTTTTCTCAATACATTGAGAAAAATTAATGGATCAAATCGTCCAAATAGTGACACATTTCCTGCACATAGCACTGATATGCTCTTTCTCCCCGCATGGAACTTGGTCAGGCTGAACGAAAAGTCCATCGTTATTAGGACAATCCCGTTCATTTTTTTTAAGTGCAGGCACACGTTTGAACTGAATGTTAAAGAATTGACACAATATAATAGAATAAAAGAATTGAAGAAGTTGCCCTTGTTATTCTTGTTGTTGTTGTTGTTGTCGGTGGTCCGGACGATGTTGGTCAAGGGATGCAGTGGTGATGATGAAGGCGAGGGCACGGCGCAGGACGTGACCCTGCATCGTCTGCCTCACCACTCGAGTCTCCGGCGCCTAAACCTGGTCCCATAGTCACCCAGTTCACCCTGTTCATCATGTCGCGTAATTCACCTTGTCACCCAGTTCACCCTGTTCATTATGTCGCGTAATTCACCTTGTCACCCAGTTCAACCTGTTCATTATGTCGCTTTGTTCACCTTGTCACCCAATTCATCTTGTTACCAAATTCACCCTCTTCACCTGGCCACACACTTCACCCTATGACCCAGCATCTCATGACCCAGTCCCATCAGTGATATAATTACAAGAATGGTTAATTTAAAGCAGTCTCCCCTCCACCTTTACCCTAACAAGTCCACAGCTCAGCTTCTGCATGCAGTTTACCCCAGTTTGCTGACGACCGTTGATATAAATAATTTATTGCTTGTTGAACAGCGTTGCACAGGCTTTAGGATTGTTGAACAACATTAAAGATCGCTGAACATAGTTAAGGATCGTTGAACATAGTAAGATCGCTGAACATAGTTAAGGATCGTTGAACATTCGAAGGTAAAATCGAACATTTTTTAACAAGCTAAAAAATCACCGTTTGGTAGTTAGGAATGTATATTCAAAATTTCGTTCAAATCTGTTCAGTAGTTTGGAAGAAATTCTGTGATTACTGCGAATTTCGGCCTTTATCGCAATATAACTCACGAATGAAGGTAAAATTTAGTAATTTTTACGAGCTAAAAATCCGCGTTAAGTTCTGATGAATACATGTTCCAAGTTTCATTGAACTGCGTTCATTCGTTTGGGAGATATTACTTGATAATTGAATTTGGAGATTGGTCGTGCGACCGGCCACGAGTCCGGCCGTACATTTACAGTATAATAATAGCGGTTTCAGCATTTATTAGGCCGTAGGCC